TGTTTCATAGTGCACATGGTCAAAAAGCTTTGCTGTGAGCTATTTTGTAGAGTGTAGCTAGCTTTTAGGAGGATATCAGAGATTTGATTTGTCAGGTGGTTTGTGAAATCAGTTTAAAGTCACTATTACTATGCTTTTTGTGGCAATTTTTGCTCTTCAAGTGTTTGATAGTGGTGCTGTAATGTCGTGAAGGGTGTCTATTATATGTCAATCAATTTTATGCACAGAGATAGTTTCAAAGTGGTTCTAGCTTAGAAATATATGAGCAATTGGTACAGGAGTTTGATTTTGTGGGTTGAGTTAGAACTTAGAAACAAAAGACACTGCCAGTCAAAAAAACGTTCACAAGGGATAAGTTGGAAGTCCACCCTTTTTGATTGGTTTGGGGAGAATGCTATTGTCCTTTTTAAGAAAGTTCTCCTAGAAAAGATGCTTATCCTAGGACAGATTGTTTTCTGCAATCTCATTTGGCTTTTTATAGTTTATATAATTCACTCTTTTCTTTCATTTGGTGATTTCTGCAATGCTTATCAACAGATTGAATTGTCTTAATTTCTCTGTTGGTTGGCTGAGCGTGATTTTGTTTTATATAGTTAAATGCTATGGACTTTTGGGGTGACAGGGCTTATAAATTTGAACAACCAACATTCGATCAATCACTGGGATATGGCGCTAGGAGTTCAAAATTAATGTTTCTACCATATTACTTCAAAGCACTGAGTATCAATTAACCTGCTATTTAAACTCTTTGCATGTCATGTGTTATATGGACACTTCTAAAGTTGAAACCTTTTGTATGAACAACCTTGGAGATTCTCAACTTTACACTTTCTCTTTTTCAGAGGGGAATGGTCTATTGAACATTGTCCTATGGGAACCAGGATGGAATTTCTTCTAAATGCAATAATGAAATGTAGGACAAGGAACAGAATATCATGAAAAATGTTTATTTCCAACTTTTGTTAGTTTTTGGAAGTTTGAAAATTCTGTTTCTTGGTGCTGTTTATGTTTTCAATTTTCAACGATTTTGAGCATAATGCATCATTTGCTAAAAAAGGGAGAGATCATGACAATCATGTTGTGCTTTTTAGGTGGGTTTTCTAGACCATTATTTTGAGGTTTAGCTTCCAGTTAAAGTAATTATGCATGCTAATTCCTACATCCCATTGTTTTGTGGATCATATTTCCTCCATGGTGTTAAGTTTTTGTTGTACGTCTCCTGGTTTTCACATGAGCATCAGGAATATTCATTTACTCCTTTTCTTTTAATAATTTAAATCAGAGGGTGAAGGTTTACCGTCGCAGTGATGATGGTAAATGGGATGACCAAGGAACTGGGCATGTGACTGTGGATTATTTGGAGGTCCATTCAAGTCTTTGAACTTATGTTTCTGTGATTCCAGTTTGGTGACATTGAATTTAATAAGTGAAATTCAACTGGTTTAAAGAAATGTATGCAATCTAAATGAATTAAAATATTGTGATTCAGAGACCGGAAGAGCCAGGTTTGTTTGTTATTGATGAAGAAGACAATGCAACATTGCTCTCGCATTATATTAGCCCAGAAGATATTTACAGAAAACAAGAAGGTACTCTTTAAGTCTTTTCCAATATTAGCAAAATGTTGCCTCAATCTGTCTGCTATATTTAGAACTACTGAAGCTGTAAGTCTGATTAAATGATATGGTATTTAATTTTCCAGATACAATTATATCCTGGAGAGACCCAGAAGCTACAGAATTAGCACTTAGTTTCCAAGAGGCTACAGGGTGCTCTTACATATGGTACCTTATGATTTTTTCCTTTTTAGTTTATTATTTCTGTGTGCTTGTGAAATTCCACGTTGTCAATCTTTTTAGTTTCCTAATTTCACTTCTGCCCTTACCCATGGTGATGTTTTGTGCAGGGATTATATCTGTAATATGCAAAGAAATATGCATTTCAGTACCCTTAATAGTAAGTATTTCTATTCATTTTGAAACTATGCTATATAGTCAGGATTATTGCATTTTGTCTTCAGTCCTTCATCTGATCATCTTTGATATAGAATTGTTGAGTCTTGTGATTGCAACATTCTTAATTTCACTTCAAAAGATTTGTAGAGTCCAGCAAGATTGTACTATGACATTTTAGCAAAGTCATCAAATAGCCACAATCAGGCCCTTTGTAGAGCATTTATGGCTCTATAGTTGATTAGTTCAGCTTGCAGTATACCTTTAAGAATAGAAAGTATAATTTATGGTGGGTGGTTTGAACTTTGACCTTTGTTAATTCATTTTTTAGTCTTATTTGGCTCTGAGCAGACATAATTGCAGTGGTTGACAATAATGTGCAACTTTTATGACCTGTTCGAGATGCTATATAATTGCTTTGATTTATGTTGTAGAGGAAGTATTTTTGGGGAGATGCATATGTGCAAAATGGGTAGCAGTATACCTGTCCACTGGGGAGGTGGAAAGATGAACAGGGGCTTTCTGTTGAGAGCCAGCATTTTCAAATTGTCTCAAATTGAAATTTATTCTCTTTACTAATGTATGCAATTCCTTGTGTATTAAACATGTATGAATCTTCTGAAGTGCATTTATGGATCCACGCAAAGTATGAATAATTGACCTCATTTATGATTGTAACTAATACTTTTTTTTTGGACATCCATTTAGTGTTCTATTTTAAACATTGTGTGGATCGATCATTATGGCATGTTTGTGGATTACTGTGGTTTGTGCTTTGCTGCAGGTGATACATTTCACAGCATGAGTAGCGAGTTGAGAGATTTGCCTGCTGTCGAGCTTTCCACTCTTCCTTTAATACTCAAGGTTCTCTCAACTGTATCCTATTTCATGATTAATTTTTTTGCTATGAACTTTTTTGTTTTAATTTTTGTTGCTGAAAATTTTTATTGGTGTTTGCAGTTTTGTGCTTGATGGTTTGTTGTATAAGATGTTTCACTTGCACAAACATATGCTCCAGCATACTAGTACTTGTACTTATTAAATTTATCAACTCTGTCCTGCAGACTGTGACTGAGAGTGGCCTTGCAGATCATATGCGGTTGACAGAACTTATACTAAATGATGTAAGTTTCTATGAAGTTTGATGTGTATGCAGTTTTATCTTTCTTTGGTCGGTTGCTGGTTGACCATTGAACAATGAATTCAGTTTTCTGGTTTTCTTATTGTAAAAGTTAAATGAATTATATTGGTTTCGGTTTCTTAGAATTAACTGTCCTAATTCTATTTCCTTTATTTCTTACTGAGAATGTCTTGAGTTTATTTATTCTACAACCTTGATTGTATCTTTTGGAAAAAGTGTTTATCAGTCCCACCTTCTACAAATTAGGAGTTGCCCATCTTAATTCAATAAGCTTCCTTCAGCCCCTCCTGAAAGCTATGTAGTTTCAGGATGTGAGCTGAAGGGTGTTTGAGGTTGAACCGTGTTCATTGACATGATGTAGCTTTGGGATGAGGACTCCTAAGTTTTAGGAGGTAGGACTGACAAACATACTCATTTTTTTCTTATTGACTGCAACTTTAGTCTTGTGTTCCTTGGCTAGACATGCTCTTAAGATCCTGGTTTTTGGTGAAAGTATTATGGATAAAAAATTATGTTTATTATTTAATTTGGTTGTCTATTTTTTATTTTATTATTATTTATTATTATTATTATTTTTTTTTGGGACAGCTGGCTACTTTGGTCTGTTTGTTTGGCACTTATCTGATTTTCAATCATTTGTTTGACCTTGGCTCTCATATTTGGTGTTTATTTTGAGGATTATGTTAAGCACTGATTAATTTTTTCAATTATGTTTCTTAAAATTTTTTGAATTGTGTTAATTTTTTGCTTATTGTTTTCAGTTTCTTTTCTATTTCTTTTAACATACTCTACTTGCCTTTTGACTTCATTTTTCCAATCTTTTCAATTTATAACTATTTGTGTTTGGTACCTTTCTAACTTAGTTGTTGTATCAATCCAGCAAGATTTTTTCCCCAAGCTCATGGACATATTTAAAATCAGTGAAGACTTGGGGAACCTTGACAGTCTTCACTTGATATTCAAAATAGTCAAGGGGATCAGTTAGTACTTTCTTTTCACAATCCTTCTCATTTTTATTATTTAAGCATGCAGTTATTGGGTCTCACTTATTAATGTTTTTGTTTACTTGCAGTACTGCTCAATAGTGCTCAGATTTTTGAGAAGATATTTGGAGATGACTTAATAATGGATATTATTGGTTCCCTTGAGTGTAAGTTTCATTGCAATAAGTTCACTTTATGTGTTGGATCACAATTAAGTGTCCAATTGGCACATGCATTTCCATGGTATTGGTTGGGGCTTTCTGCAAACACAGCATACCAGTAAAATGCAATCAAAAGAAGCTAAGGAAAGCTAAAGCCTTTGATAGAATCAAGAAAGAATAATCAGGGAAACTTGGAGAAGAAAGAAAAGCTTCCTATTTATATTCCTTAAGGATAACCAAAATACTCAACAACTGCAAATGAGTAAAACTCATACACAGCCCTTTATGCTAGACATAGTTCAAAACAACAGGTTATTGTAAACAAAACGAGACACCTAAAACTAATCCTAGGTGGCAGCGCCACATCACTATCCAAGTTTCTTGTGTTAACCTGTGTTGTGAAAAGTGCTAGGCGATGGTGGCACATTGGGATGCTGCCTTTTCTTAAAAAAAAAAAAAGAAAGGTTTATTTGCAAGGAGTAGCATAAACTCATCTATTATATAGATAAATTAAGATAATGTAATAGCAAGTTACCCTAAGTTGTCGCTGGATTTTTTTTTTTTTTTCATTACAATGTAGTTTCACTTAAAAATGCCTCGCTCTCCTAGCGCTGAATTATGCCTAGGTGAGCTTAATTACACCTAATCATGCCTAGGTGAGCTTGATTACGCTTAATCATGCATAGGCACACTTAATTATGCTTAATCAAACTAGGCACATACAAATGAACAGAACCACTACCTGGCACCAGGCAAGGCACTCACTGCATGGCACCTAGGGTTGCTTTTTGCAATTGCTGAGACCTTTATTTAGGATCATTCTCATGGACGTTATTGATATTCCTAGTTTTATTATCTTATTCTTTTAAGTGGTTTATGATGAATGGTATGCATTGGTTGTTTGTTTGTATGTTCCTTTAGTGTCATAACTCTTTATTTCATTTTTCTATAGTCTCGTAAGAACTGGCACAGGAGTCATGGTTTGTCTTGCATTGTCTGGTTTGCTATTCCTTGAATGTCATAGCTTCTTATGTCACTTTCATTTCCGACTAACTTGTGCATTGCATTATTAGTTGTCTTGATTGGTGAGCTGGCAATCTTTTTATATATATATATATATTAATGTTTGGTTCAAGATTTTTTCCTTTTAAATGTGTTTGTATTTAGTATGTTAACATTGTTCTATTATGATGTTCCAGGATATAACCTTGTTTTCTTATTGGGCATGTTTAATACGTTATTAGGTTTGTTCCATCATTCAAATTTGCTCTAATTTGATTTGCAGATGATCCTGATGTTCCTCATATCCAACATTATCGGAAATATTTGAAAGAACATGTTGTCTTTAAGGAGGTAATATATGATTAATGCCTCTCTCTGCTTAGGCTGTGGATATGTTATGGACTTGGGACTGGAGTTACGGAGGTTGGAGGCATGTAAAGTTCTCTTGGAACAGGAGTTGTATTTGCTAAAAATTTTAGTTCATATCGCTTCTTTTTATTTTATTTTATATTGTTTATTTGTTTTGATTCTTACAGGCTATTCCAATTAAAAATCCAGTAGTCCTCTCAAAGATACACCAGACATACAGAATTGGCTATTTAAAGGCAAGAATTTTAAATTCTGACTTCCTGAATCTTGCTTGTGTTTCATTTGGTTTCATAATTCTTGCTTTGTTTCATTTCTTTCAGGATGTTATTTTGGCTAGAGTTTTGGATGAAGCAACAGCTGCAACTCTAAACTCTATGATTCATGCAAATAATGCTCATGTAAGATTTGGAACCATATTCATGAGTATATTAAGCTCGTTGTTTCTTTTTCTCTAATCATGTTATATTGTTCTAGGTTGTGTCTATGTTGAAGGATGACAACACCTTTATTCAGGAGTTGTTTGCAAGGTTGAAATCATTGACCATATCTTCTGAATCAAAGAAGCATTTGGTAATTGTTCAAACTTAAATGCTTTTGTAGTTAATTGTTCTTTCCATGGAGTTATATTCATGGGTTTATTTATTTATTCATTTATTTTCATTTTTCTTGGAATATATTGTATTTGACTTTGAAGCTAAAATCATCATGGAAAGGACTTTTATTTTAATTTTTAATTTTTTTAATTTTATTTTTTTGCCATAATCATTGAATGGGCTATGGATCATCTTCTTCTTAGATGATGAGATATAGATTTTGATCCTTTTTAGTGGTCAATGTTTCTTAGGGTTTACTTGAGCTGTCAGACTCAAGGAAATTCTATGAATGAAAGCTTACATGAGAAAATAGTTTGATGCATTTTTTTCTTCATTGATTGTAATTGTCAAGAATAGATGCTATCATACTGCATTGCACTACTATTTATGAGACTAAAATAAGATCAAGTTTCACGATTAGTATTTCAAAAATGTGAAAGAAACTTATAAGGGAGGGTTGACATATGGAATTTCATAATAATGCATTGAGCTTCATGGTGCTTCTTCTTGATCTGCTTCTTGCATTGGTCATGATCGTTTGTGTTTCTTGAAAATAGGTATATTTCCTTCATGAATTCTGTAGTTTAGTCAAGAGCCTGCCGATGATTCAGCAGCTACGCCTATTTCGGTATGCTTTTCTTAATGTAATTTCACTTATGTTACTCATTGTAGCTGCCACTGCTTTGGTGCTATCTTTTAGACGATTAGTTGGAATATCATCTTCTTAAGTTTTGATTTTCAATTATTGTAGGGATCTCATGACTGAAGGCATTTTTGATATCATTGCTGATACTTTGCAGAGCCAAGACAAAAAACTTGTGCTTGTTGGGTAATTATGGCATCTGTTTGGTCCCTTTTTCTGCATCTGAATGGTTCTCTGTCAACCATTTAGTCCTAATAGCTGGTCTCTATAATGGATGCAGGACAGACATCGTGATATTGTTCCTGAATCAGGATCCAAACCTTCTGCGTTCATATGTTATTCGGCAGGAAGGCATCCCACTTCTAGGACTCCTGGTATGCATTCTGCTGAGTTTGTTAGTGATATAAAGTTATAAACTGTCAATGAAATGCTTAGTTATTGGTTTAAGAACTGCTTGTTAATAAAAGATATTATACATGACAATCAATCTTAACCAATAGTCTGCCTGGGTGTGCTGCTTTTTTTATTTTTTATTATTTTTGACTGTTAAATATTTTGCCTACGTTGCAGTCAAGGATGTCATCTGAATGCTA